GCATGGATCATGAGCCACTACATACTAGATGCGAGCTAAGTATTTATTCTGGATGGGAGCATGGACTTGGGTGTAGTGCCCTGCAGGAGCTGTAGAAGCATAAGATCGGCCCATGGTGAGGGAGCACAGCACTCGAGGTTGTAGCTTGGCGGGATGCAGCCACAGCTAGAACTTGATGCTCGTAGCCGATGACTTTTGCAGGATCGCCAACCTGTGAATCTTCTTCAAATATCCAGATTGATTCTATATTTGCTTTTTGAGAGCCAAACCGTTAAATCTAATACGTCCATTCATAATCTAACGGTTGGCGATGAGAGTAGAGGACTCAAGGTTTGTGTCGCAATGAAGAGAGGGAGGGGGTCCAAGGTTTACGTAGCGTCCTCGCTGGTGAATCTGGTCGCGGTGAGAAGCTCTGGGTTACTCAGGGCCCCCGACACCTTGCTTGCAAGGGTATGAGCAATAGCAATACATCAACACCCACAACTTGTTGAAAGTCAAAGAAAGTCAAATGGAGTTCAGAACAAAAGGAGGAGAACCAGATTCTACTTTGATGGTAGCTTATGCAATGTCCATCACGGAATCTCCTCCAATTCCTTCGACTCTCCCGTTTCTCAAGAACAAATCTTTCTATGCCCAACAGATCCGGTCTTGTGCAGCATCCAAGGATCCAAGCCAGGCCAAGAGACTCCACGAGGAAATCCTTGGGACTCATCTCTGGGACAATCGCTACATCAGCAATCTCCTCATCGAGATGTATGGAAAGTGTGGAAGCGTGGACAGAGCACTTGACGTGTTTCATAGGATCCCTCTGCCAAACTCCTTCTCGTGGAACATCATGATAGCCGCATACATCCAGAACGGGCAGCTCCAAGAAGCTGAGAAGATGTTTGCAAGAATGCCGGTTAAGAACGTTGTCTCGTGGAATGCGATGGTAACGGCATATGCTCATTTTGGGCAGATGGAGCAAGCGGTTGAAACTTTTGAAAGCATGCCCGAGAAGGACACAACGTCCTACAACGCAATGCTTACGGCATTAACAGAGAGAGGCGAAATGAGAAAAGTGGAAGAGTTCTTTGAGAAAATCCCAGACAAAGATCCGGTGTCTTGGAGTATAATTGTTACTGCTTATGCCCAAGCTGGGCATATGGAAAAAGCTCTGGAGTTCCTTGAGAGAATGCCGGGGGCGTGTGTCTTTGCCTGGAACGCTCTCCTGTCGGGCTACACAATCCATGGAAGGATTGACGATGCGAAAAAATTGTTTGAGAGAATGCCACAGCGCGACTCTGTGTCATGGAACACTCTCATGTCGGCGTACGCTCAGCTTGGTCGATTTGCCGAGGCCAAGTCTCTGTTTGATCGGACTCCACAGCGCAACCTCGTCTCCTGGAACATTATGATCAATGCATACGCAGTGAATCGCCAGCCTCACGAAGCACACCGCGTTCTTGATCGAATGCCGAGAAAAGACTCTACCTCGTGGAACGCAGTGATGGGAGCCTACGCACAGAACGGCCTCCCGGAAGAAGCCAAGCTCATATTTGATAGAATGCCGTCCAAAAACTCCATCTCCTGGACGATCATGGTGGTGGCCTACGCGAAATCCGGCAACGTAGAGCTCGCGAGGAGCTTCTTCGACAAAATCTCTCACCGAAACTTGGTGTGCTGGAACACGATGATCACGGCGTACTCCCAGCACGGTCAAGCCCGGCAAGCCTTCACTCTACTGGGCTCCATGGATTTGGATGGCACCAAACCCGACAACATCACTCTTGTCGCAGTCTTGGACGCCTGTGCCAGTTCCAACGCCTTGTCGGACGGTCGGATGGTTCACGACATGGCGGCAAGCGACAAGGCTCTGCTAGATCCTGTCGTGGAGAGCGCGCTCGTCAACATGTACTCCCGCTGTGGCTGCCTGGGAGAAGCCCGACAGGTGTTTGAGAGCTCGGTGGATCGAGACGTGGTGGTGTGGACAACAATGGTGACGGCCTATGCGCAGAGCGGCCATACCAAGGAGACGATCGAGCTCTTCCTGGCGATGGTGTGTGACGGCCTTCCACCGGACCCCATAACATTCACCGCGGTCTTCTCGGCTTGTAGCCATGCCGGAAAACTCGATGTAGCATTGGAGTTCTTCGTGACAATGGTTGGAGATTTCGGTACCTCGGCTCAGAGGGATCACTACAGCATCATGGTCGATCTGCTGGGACGATCCGGGAGGACGGCAGAGGCGCGAGAGCTCATGGATTCTATGCCGTGCGAGCCTGATGATATTGCATGGACGACGCTTCTCGGGGCGTGTAAGACGCACGGAGACGCGAACCGAGGAGCCGGAGTGGTGGAGCGTCTGTATCGCAAGAGACCGGATGTGTCGTCAACTTACACTCTCGCGTCTGGATTGGTGAGAGGCGTAGCTCCGATCGATCGATGATCGTGGTGTTTGAAGAGATTCGCGAGCATCACGTATGGAGCTGAGTCTGTGGGACTCAATCCCGCCGCTCGCTGAGCAGCTCGCAAGCCGAGGTCGCGATTTTCGCTGCCACCGTCAACCCGGCATGCGCTCAGCACGCTCGTCCAAGCGGCAGCGTCTGGCTCAAAAGGCATGGATCTTATGAGCTGTTCGACGTCGCGAAGTTTTCCAGCGCGAGCGAGGACGTCGATGATGCAGCTATACATCTCCAGCGTGGGGGTGATGGAGTAATTGTGCAGCATCGCTCCAAACAGTGCGAGGCCATCGTCAAGCATCCCAGCGTGAGCGCATGCCGAGACGGCGGCCTTGAAAGTCACCTGATCTGGAGAGTTTCCTTCGAGCTCCATGGCCTGGAGATACTCCATGGCGAGATCGAGCTGCCCGTTATCAGCGTGAGCCGCGACTACGGCAGTGTAGAGAACGGTGTCTCGGGCTTCCATCCCCTGGAAGATATTCATTGCTTCGTCCAGCCCTCCACACTTCCCATAGAAGCTCACGAGCGAGCTTCCGAGTTCCGGGGAGCGGCTGATGCTGGTGAGCGAGATCTCACTGTGGATCGATCGCCCCTCGTCCAGAGCTCCCAAACCAGCGCAGGCATCGACGGCGGCAGCGTAAGTCAGCTCGTCGATCGCCACCGATTCCTCGTTCCTCATTCTCCGGAAGAGCTCCACGGCCAGTCTCATATGCCCGTTACGGGCATACGCTCCAACCATAGCGTTCCAGGTGAGAGTGTTTCGATCGGTCATGCTATCAAAGACTCTTCTCGCTTCTTCGACGCTGCCAACTTGTCCATAGCCGGTGATCATCGCATTGCACGCTGCTGGAGAGTGCCGTGGCATTCTCTCAAATACATCCCTTGCTTTGTCGAGATGACCATTCGCGGCATAGGCTCCAAGCATCGCATTCCAGGCCGCGAGATCTTTCTCAGGCATGGCATCAAAAGTCCCTCTAGCACTAGCAAGATCGCATAGCTCACCGTACATGGTGATCATAGTTGTCCACGAAACCACGTCCCTGAGAGGCATTTTAGAAAAGAGACTTTCAGCTTGGAACAAATGCCCAAGCTGGGCATATGCAGAAATGATAGAGTTCCACGATGCTGTATCCCGCATTGGCATTCTATCAAACAGTCCTCTCGCCTCGTCGATGAATCCAGCCTGAGAGAGCGCCGCTATAAGGCAATTCCACGAGATTGGATCGCGCTCCGGCATCTCCAGAAAGAGATCCATCGCCTCGTCCAGAAGCCCATTCCCGGCAAATCCCGCAACCATGGCATTCCACGACACGAGATTCCTCTGCGGCATCTTCACGAACACCTCCCTCGCATCCTCCACGAAACCTCGCTCGCAAAACCCCACCAAGAGCGCCGTCCACGACACGGAGTCGTGCTCCGGCATCGCCTCTTCGACCGTGCGCCTCGCCACGTCTAAGCTTCCGTGCTGCGAATATCCCACAACCATTGAGTTGTACGACACGAGATCCCTCTCTTGCATTGCGGAGGAGAAGAGCTTCTCGGCCTCGTCCAAGCTTTGGTTGTGTACGTACGCCGCAAGCATCGAGTTCCACGAGACGATGTCCGGCTCTGGGATGCCGTCGAAGATCCGCTTGGCATCCGCGAGATGCCCTGGCCTGTGGGTGTACGCTGCGATCATCGCGTTCCAGGTGACGTTGTTCGTCCCGGGCATCTTTTCCATGAGCGACAGTGCCTCGTCCACAAGGCCGTGGTGGGCGATTGTGCTGAGCAGCGTGTTAAACGAGATGAGATCCTTCTGGGGCATTTGTTCAAACACAGTTCTCGCCTGGGAGATCTGGTTGCTCTGCGAGAACGCACAAAGTAGAGTGTTCCACGAGACGAGATTGTGCTGTGGCATCCGATTGAAAGCCTCTGCGACGCTGGAGGTTTTTCCGGCTTGGCAGTAGGCACTCAAGAGAGTGTTCCACGACACAATGTCTCGCTCCTTCATCGCTTGAAACAACGTTTCCACTCCATGCAAATGCCCCAGCCGGGCATTTGTCGCAAGCATGATATTCCAAGTTACTGTGTCCTGCTGTGGCATTTTCTCAAACAAACTCATGGCCTCTTCCTCATGCCCAGCTTGTGTATAGGCTGATATCATTGAGTTCCATGAGACCACCACTCTTGGTTCCGGCATCAAATCAAAAAGTTGACGCGCTTCTTCAAGATGCCCTTTTTGGGCATATGCGGTGATCATGGTGTTCCACGAGACTGAGTTTCTTACGGGCATCTTGTCAAACATCTTCTTTGCCTGCTCGAGGCGATTGTTAAGGACAAAAACAGATAACATGATGTTCCAGCTGAAAACATTCGGCTGGATTGTGTGCTCGAACACCTTTTGTGCATCCGCCACGCTCCCGCATTTGCCATACATGTCTATGAGGAGGTTTGAAAGGTAGAGCTTGCCGCTGTGCTCGCCACCAGCGATGGATTCGTGGATTTGCCTTCCCTCGAAGAGATTCCTCTTTTTCCCGCATTGCCGTAGCAAATCGGCATACTCGGACACTGAACAAGACATCGGAAAAGTGTGATCTTGTCGACGCCAGGAATTCGTGAGATTCTTCTTATTACGTTACTGCTACTCCCTCTCTCTCGATCCGGCTATAAGACCTCCGGGAAATGCCACATCCTTGGTGGCAAATGGCTCGTCAGGAAATGTCTCTCGTATCCTTCCTCCGCAGCAATGGAATCACTCACGTCCTCCGGAACGACGAATCACAGGTAAAAGCCTCCTATACTTTAGAAAGGGGACAAACGTATGATACTGTATCTTCTTCTTTGTGATCTTCACTTGGAAAGGTGGAGACTAAGGTGCTCGAAGGAAAGATCGTTGGCTTGCTCTTCTCGGTGGAATCAAACAAGTCATGCAGCACCTTCGTCAACAAGCTGCTGGGTATCTACGATGAAATCCAAAAGATTTCCACCGCTGGCGCTGGTGGTGTTGGATTCGAAGTGGTGTTTGTTTCGGGTGACACGGATGAGGCGAGCTTCAAGCAATCCATGAAGAAAATGCCTTGGCTGGCACTACCGTTCGACGTCAAAGGAGCAACGACTGCGAAGCTAGCTCGACGTTTCAAAGTGGAAGTGATGCCAAGCTTGGTCCTTGTTGATTCCAATGGAACAACATTGCTATCGAGATATGGTTACAGCTTGGTCACCAGGTTTGGATCGAAGGCTTTTCCTTTCGCGCAAGAACACATCCAAGACCTGGAAAAAGTGGAGGATCAAAACGCCAGCAAGCTTCCCGTGGAACTCAAAGATGGAACGCACGAGCATGTCTTGCTGCTAGTGAAAGACCCCTATGACAACGCAATGTTTACTTGTGACAAATGCCAGGAGGATGGGTGTGGATGGTGTTACCATTGCAAGGAATGCTCCTACGATCTACACTTGGACTGCATCAAACCAGTCCCCAAAACACCTGTGAAGGAGATCAAGGATGCGAAGGACCAGATCAAGGATAAAAAGGATCAGATCAAGGATGCGAAGGACCAGATCAAGGATAAAAAGGATCAGATCAAGGATGCGAAGGGCCAGATCAAGGATAAAAAGGATCAGATCAAGGATGCGAAGGACCAGATCAAGGATAAAAAGGATCAGATCAAGGATGCAATGGATCAGATCAAGGATTCTCCATCCACGCAGATTGAAGGCAAAGCTGGTGCCATGATGGACACTTTCAAGCAAAGAAAAGGATCTACAAGCGTTGCCCTCATTAGTTTCGTTCTGATTCTTCTCGCATTGTTATGGGTTCTTGGTTTTCTTGGACGAAAGTTCTTCCTCGAGAAGAAGAATGCTGCATAAAATTCACTATAAAATTCATAACAGATAATTATTCCAATTTCAGTTTAAGATGATTTGCAAATGTTTATTGTAAGTGGTAAAAAATTGAGATTTTGCTCGCTTTATATTCACATAAAAGCATGGAAAATGCTATGCTATGCTTGTGATATACTCCGTGGTGGTATATAAGATCCCATAATAGTTTTCATACTTCAAACATGGAATCAGTTTTGTCATTCATTGCAACTGAAGAGCGTGACTATGTCATTAGAAATGACGGATCCAAGGTGAAAGAAATGGATATAATCATCTAAGTAACTATATTTCCAGGTGAGCATTCAAAGCCTCCAAGGATTCAAGTGCTATGGCTTGGCCTTCGTCGCACACTGGTATCCAACGGCTCGAGCGTTTGTGGACAAGCATCTGATCCCTCTCTACGAGCAAATCCGCGCCAGGCATGGCAAGAGATCGATCGAGATCATCTTTGTCTCGGACGACTTGAACTACATCGAGTTCATGGAGTTCTTCCAGACTATGCCTTGGCTCGCACTGCCATTCCAAGACAGGAGGACGGAATTGATTCTTAGCACCAAGCTAAACGTCCAAAGCATACCTGCGTTTGCAATCTTTGATGGCGATGGCAAGCTCTTGTTTAGAGAAGGCCGAAGCGTGATACTGCGCCATGGATTGCGAGCTTATCCCTTCACTCCACACCACGTCTCCAAGCTTGACGTGATCCAGCGAAAGCGAGCCTCCAAACTTCCAGCGGACGTGAAGCATCCACAGCACGAGCATACGCTCGATCTCGTCCGCGACTGGTATGACAACTTTGGGATGTTCGTTTGTGACGCTTGCTTGGACGAAGGAAACGGCTGGTTCTACCACTGCGAGAGGTGCTCCTGGGATTTGCATCCTGCCTGTGCAAATCCAAAGTTCGATCTACAGAAGAGCGCCAGTACTTATTTTCGATGCTACATACCAGGAGCAAACATCTTCAAGAAAATGCTAAAGTTACAGCCAAAGGAGACGTCGACATAGTTCTCGTTTCTCTAAAGGGAATTGGGAATTTTCTGTAAACAGCAATCTCCTTCTGCTCGTGTGACACCAGCTATGATAGTCTTTTGTATCTTTATGACCAAAAGAGCAGTACTTCTTGAGCTAAAGCAATGCATGGATTTGCATTTAGTAACTATAGCAAGTGATGCCAAATTTTTAGAGATCTTTTAGAAAGAACATCACGAGACTGGAGTTCTATTACTAACTCCAATGTACCTCACTCTTTTGAGTCGCAAATCGAAAAGAATTTGTACTTCTAAGCCGTCTACAGCGTCAGACAGTGCAAGACGCTGTAGACAGGCAAGGAACTGCTTTCACACTAGAAACTCTCATTCAAAGAACGAAAACAAAATTTAATTACAGATCGAGCAGAGACTCGAGTAAGAACAACGATATCATAAAGCATTAAATTACATCGAAACAAAGAGCACAGCAAGCTCACCTTGGTATGACAATTGAGCAATGACAGAGTTGTTTCTCGTAACATTATTCATGGACTTCACTGTTTCCATGAGTTTGAGACACTGAGAAAAAAAGAAACGATAGAAAACGGTCAAGTGCTTCACTAAAACTGTTTTGCTCACTGCCAAGAGTGCGCAAGACTAGAGACCAGAATTGCAAACCTAGGGCGAGATTTAGTGACAATGCTGTTATCTTACCGTGTTTTTAGTTATCAGTCTCTTCTTTTCGGATGATGTTTCAATAAAATAAAAACTAAAGAAGTTGTTTATATTATATTTGTTATATCATGTTGCAGAAATTAAACTTAACTTCTAAAAACAACGTTACTATCACTAAAACCTTAGGACTTGGGTGCTTAAGTAAACCAAAAAAATTAGATGGATCAAATTCAATTTCAATATGTTAATTAATGTATTTATACAACCATGTGGTTCTTCTTAATAGTAGTGTTTATTATTTAATAACAAATTTAATTTACTAGAAATGATAAAAATTATTTATAAATTATAAACACAAGATTAATCTTGGGTAGAAATAAATTATAAAATTTAATCTAAATGAAGAACAACTTTTAAATTGTAAAATATCCCAGAATATTTAAACATATTCTCTTAGCCACATCAAATAAGAGTATAAAACTAAGTTCACTAACTTTGTCTCAGGCGACTTAAAACTATAAAGTGCGGAGACTGCCCTCTGCTCAATGGAATCAATACCTAAACTTGGAAACATGGAAGAGAATTTTGCTAGCTCAAGCAAAGCAAGCCACTTTGGTCGCTATCCCTGGTAACAATGAAATGAAATGCTAGATATCATGGATTCACTTTAGCTCATCGAATCCTGCCAAGAGTAATAGATCCGGCACGTGAGAGCCACAGCCATGCCAACAGAACCATCCATTCGAGCAACTAGAACAATGCCTCGTTGCTGGCCCAAACTCTAAAAATGAAGGGAGAAGGTCACTATACTGATCTAGTTGCTCTGCATTCCATCCCAAACAGTGAGGTATTTGATACAGCTGCATTGCATGCTCCCCATTAGAAATCATCAAGAATGCTACTTAAAAAAAAGAATACAAAGAGCCTGCTTATAGCCCTTTGAAATGGAGATGAATCTTGAAGCTTCTGTTAAACACAGATTCACTGGAGGGAAACAAATTTTGAAATGACAAAATCTTTCCGACTTTCACGTTTTGTACATGGGACGACTTAGACTATGTCGAGTTCATGGAGTTCTTCGGTGCCTTCACTCGCACTGCCATTCCAACACAGGACGACGGAATCAGTTCTAAGCACCAAATTTTCCAAGCATTTGCAATGCGATCAGCTCTGGCCGGAGTGTGATACTGCGCCATGGATTCGCCATGGAGCTTATCCTTGCAGCCCCCGAGCAAGATCGCCATAGCCTGAGAGCTCGTGTCGATCAACACCAATCTTGACGTGATCCAGCGAAACTAAGCCTCCAAACTTCCAGCGGACGTGAGCACACGCTGGATTTCGTCCGGCATCTGGTATGAAAGCTTTGGGAGGATGCAAGCACCTCTGGCAGTGGGAGAACCAGCCATAGCGTCCAAGCAAGCGTCACAACGAAAATCCTGCCCTGTGCAAATCCAAAGTTTGATCTACACGAGAGCAAATCGAAAATGCTAAAACTTACAGCCAAAGGAGACGTCGACGTAGTTCTCGTTTCTCTACGGAGCTGGATTCGGGAATTTTCTGTGAACAGAATCTATCTCCTCCACCATTTCATCTGTTAGTGTGATAGCAGCTGCTTTTACTATGTCCATTAGCTGATAGTCCTTCGTAGCTCCAATCACAGCACTTGCAACCAGTGGATGCCTTAGTACAAAACCTGACCAAAGGAGAAGTTTTTCTTGAGCTCAAGCAATGCATGGATTTGCGTTGTAGGTACCTATAGCAAGCTCCACGGGGGTGATGCCATAGTTCTTAGAAATCTCTACGTATGCCTGAAACGAGATAGTTTGGATCTTATAATAAGAAAATCCGAAATGTACGTACCTTGACAGCCGGTAACAGATTGGGTTTTCCAAGATCATACCGGCATTCTGCCTCGGTGTAGCGTCCTGTATTATGGGTGTTTTTCTACGTTAGAGAGAGAAGATTGCGTAGTGACCTTTATAAAGATTTAAACGAGCATCAGCCGGACCTCCACCATCGTCAAGATATTTCGCAGTTAGCAAACCCATTGCCAAAGGACTGTAAGCCAGGAGGTTTATGCTGAAAGAACAAAGAAGAACACCGTTTACAGTCTACAAAGGTGATAAGCTCTTACCTTTCGTGATGGCAGCATTCGGCGAGACCATAATCAAAGGTTCGACACAGGAGGCTATATGCATTCTGTTCCAGATAGTTAGAATCCTCCACTTGGGCATATATAAACTTCTTCTTCTCCACTTACTTGGATCGAGAAAACTCGAGGCAGCCTGTTCTCGCGAGAAGCCCGGCAGAATTCCATGAGACCGTAAGGAGTTTCATTGCTAACTCCAATGTATCTTATCTGTTCAACTAGTCTGTTGAGTCGCAAATCGAAAGGGATTTGTACCTTGCCAGCGTCTACAGCGTCAGACAAAGCTTGCAGCTGCTCGTCCACAGGAACTGCTTTGATACGGCGTGAAGGATCGTAATCAACTTCTCCAAACATCGGTGTATAGCTATAGAAAACTCCCATTCTCAAGCAAAGCACACAAGCATAAAATGTTTTACTCACCGATCAGGCCAATGTATCTGATAGAGATCAATATGATCCAAGCAAAGTCGCTGCAAGCTGCACGAAGGAACAAAAACCATGCCAGTAAGAACAATGGTACGAGAAGTAAAACCTTGTGTCAATAGCCGCCTTGATATTATTCTTGTCCAAAGAGTGTGGTCCTCCACGAATCCAAGTCATTTGTCCCGAAGGCCCAGCTACCTTAAAAAAAAATATATAGAACCATGAAATGAAAGAATTTTGCTAGATCGAGCTCACCTTGGTCGCTATCACAATCTTGTCCCTGGCAATGTTACTCTCTCTGATCCATCGACCGAGGTAGACCTCACTCTTTCCATGAGTTTGAGCTCTTTGAGGCACCGGGTACCTGCGAGCAAGGAGCAAAGGAGACGATCGAAAGCGAAGAAATGCTGGTTTTTACATCTCTGCCGTGTCGAAGAAGTTGATTCCAGCTTGCGTAGCGATGCTCAAGAGCTTGGCGGATTCACTATAGCTGTTCTGCTCACCAAATGTCATGGTTCCTGCCAGGAGCGCGCGAGATACGTGAGAATCAATCCAACGGGCTCACCAACCTAGGCAGAGCTTCGACACGGAGAGATCCGGCGCGAGAACCACAGCCATGCTAACACGAAAACCCTAATGGGATAGAGATAGGCAAAATGCCCAGGCTGGGCATCTAGACATTCTTGTTTGGCACCAGTATGATCACCGAAGAGCTGGCTAAATGCCCGACGCAGTGGCTGATCTTGCCACTCGCCTCCGATGTTGCTCCTGCATTGTGGCCGGAGAGCAAATCCACAGGGAGATCAAAGCATCCGCTCTCGAGCACAACAGGTACCTTGCAAACTTGCTCGTCCAAATGTATGGCAAGCTTGATAGATTGGGCGAAGCACGCGCTGTCTTTGATAGCATCCACGCTCCCGATGCCTTCTCTTGGAGTATTATGATCGCGTGCTACACGAAAAGCGGCCAGATCGAAGCTGCGAGGCGCCTTTTTGATGCTGCTGGGGCTGATCCGGGGGTCGTGTCATGGAACACCATGATCACGGCATATGCCCGAATTGGGGATCTCAGCGAGGCCAAGAAGCTTTTCCAGCAAATGCCGAATCCCAATGCTGTTACGTGGACGGCGATCCTCACAGCCGTTGCGGAGAACAGCTCGCTCCAGGAAACGCGAGAACTGTTTGATGCAATGCCAGAGAGAAATCTTTCATCGTGGAACGTAATGCTTAATGCATATGCCCGAACTGGGCACTTGGGCGAATCCGAAAACTTGTTCTGCTCTTGCCCTGAGAGAAACATTCGGACTTGGAACGCTTTACTGCATGCATGGGTCCAAAACGGAAATGTTCTTGATGCCCAAGACGTGTTCTCACGGATGCCCGAGAGAGATGCTGTGTCGTGGACGGATATGCTCACGGCGTATGCCACCTTTGGGCATACTGAAGATGCCAAGAATCTGTTTAGACAGATGCCAGAGAAAAACACTGTCGCGTGGAACATTATGATAAACGCATTATCTCAAGTTGGTAGTTCGAACGAGGCTAAGGAATATTTCGACAAGGCTCCGAATCCAAATGTAGTGACCTGGAACTCTATGATCCTTGCGTATATCCGTTCTGGATATACAGCGGAGGCGAGGCGGCTCTTTGATTCGATGCCAATGCGAGATTTGATAACTTGGAACTCAATGATCCAAGCATATGCCGATGCCTTAGATTCCCACAATGCCGATGCTCTCTTTGATCGATCCCCACAACACAATGTGGTGTCGCGGACCACAATGTTGGTCATGTATGCCGAGGTGGGGCATCTGGACGATGCCAAACGAATCTTTGACACGATGCCAAGCAAGAACATTGTGTCATGGACAGCGCTGCTGCAGGCATATGCCGAGGCTGGGAATCTCGAAGATGCCGAGGGGATATTTCACCGGATGCCCGAGTGGAATAGCGTGACGTGGAATGCGATGGTTGGTGGATATGGCGCTGCTGGAAATGTAGAGAAAGCGGAATCCATGTTCAGCGGGATGCCGGAGAGTGACGTGTCGTCGTGGAACGTTATGCTGGAGGTATATACCGCCAATGGGCATCTTGGGGACGCAAAGGCACTGTTTGATAGAATGCCGTGTTGGACTCAAACATCTTGGAATATTCTTCTAGCGGCGTACGCGGAGGGTTCTTTGGTAGAGGAGATGCTTTGGTTTCTCGACTCCATGCCTGGAAGAAACGTTGCCAGCTGGACGATTGCGATGGCGACACTTGGCGCGAATGGGCATCTTGATGAGGCGGAGAGAATCTTCGGTTTGATGCCAGAGCACGACCTCGTGTGCTGTACGGTGATGCTCACGGTATTGGTACACCACAGGAAGTGTTACAAAGCAAAGCTCTTTTTTGAAAAGATTCCAGAGCGCAGCCAGGTATCTTGGAACACGATGCTGGAAGCATATGCCCTGTCGCGGGATATCCATGGCGCGAGAATCTTTTTCGAGCGCATGGAGGCGCGGGAGCCGGTGGCGTGGGGCAGTGTGATTGGATCTTACGCAAACGCTGGCCTCATGGAATCCGCCATGGCACTCTTCCGTACCATGGCCATGGAGGCTCTAGCTCCCGACGAGATTATCTTCCTCAGCGTTCTCTCGGCTTGCAATCATGCCGGATCGCTGGAACAGGGCTTGCGCTGCTTCATGTCGATGATTGCAGACTATGGATCGGCGCCGCGGAGAGAGCACTACACTTGCTTGATCGATCTTCTCGGCCGGGCGGGGGAATTACTCGATGCGGAGGAGATCATTAGCAAGATGCCATTCAAGCCGGATGCCACGTCCTGGGGGTCGCTGCTGAGCTCCTGCGCAGGGGTGAGAGAGATCGATCGAGGGACGAGGAGAGCCAGGGCGGCATTCCAATCCAGTGATAGCTCCAGCCCCTATATTTCCCTCGCTAATATGCGCTCCAGAAATTAGGGTTTTTCGGGGATGGAGGTGGAGGTGAGGCGCGTTGCCAGCAGCGATGTCGGCTTCGTTGCGCTCCCGATGCATGTAATTTACCTTCTCCAGCAAGGCGACGCGCATTTCACTTCCCTCCTGGTGCTGGAATTGAAGATTTCGCGTCCAGCGGCAGGCGATGGAGCCGCATTGGTTCCCTGGTTCGTGGCTTGGAGCGGCGCCACCTCCAATTCCATTTTCATCGAGGTATGTTCGTGGAGTTCCTGGGGGTGATCTTTCTTTCTTAGCACAAGCTTTGATGAAGGAAGGTTGCGGAGAGTCTAGCGCAATGCCTGGGGCTACCTGATCGAGCGAAGGTCACAGTTCGTGTTCGTATCGATTTACCACAAGCACAGACTGTTCTAGTGGAGCCAGCGACGGAGGACGATTCGGAGATTTTGGAGCTCCACGCTGACTACCTTGAGACTCATATCTTAAACGAGGTATCCAGTTCGAACATATAGTCTTCTCGGTCTATTTTTTTGTCCTTCTATGTTGCTTCTAAGTTTTCTTATTCCAGGTTGGAGTGCTACAGGAGGGACGCCAGTTTCCTGTGTCAGTTCCAGGACAAGGGGTACTTGTGTTGCTTGCAAAATCCATCACTCCAAGGTCAGTGGTGAGTGTGTAGATTTATTCTGGTGTGAACCATAGACTCGTCCTCATGGCAATCCTTTTCAGGTAAGACTCACGCGAGGGACGGAACTAGTTGTGTCTATCAAGAAGCGCCAACAGAACATCAAGCAAGGCCCGCAATTTGGAAAAAGTATCTGGCTGCGAATCCAGGATATTGACGAGTCACTACATCAAGTTTGCAATATCGGAGGCAAAGAGCTCGCAGTTATTCCTACCGCTGCGGTTTACGTAAATTCAAGTACAGCGGAACGAGTCACCGTGGCAAATGGACAGTGGGTGCTGGTGAGAACAAGCCAGTCCTTTCCGAATGAAGAAACGACTGATGAGCAGAAAAAGGTAACTAGATCGGCAGCTGTTCGTGTGATTTATTGGAGCGGAGCCACCGATGGCCATGCTGTGGTCTCAGCGCCTTTGCGGCAGTATTTGGGTGTTCAGCTCCACGGAGGTATAGCTTTTATATTCAATTTCAGCTTTTATATTCGCTTTTTTTTCTGCAGGGTTGTGTCTTCAATCCTTTCACCAAACTAATCTGCTGCAAGCAACGAGTGTTCGCGTAACTCCGGTTATGTTTCACTCAGAAGAAAATCAAACAGATGGGAAGCAGCTCAAGCAAGTGATTTCTTCCGAGACAGTGGACGATAAGCTTACCTTGATTAGAGCTTGGATAAAAGCCCAACGAAGGACGTTGCACAACGCTTTCGGCGGTAATGATGGTACTTCCTGGCCGGCAACATCCTTGATAGCGCTTTCGGAAGCGCCTGCCAACAGACAGAAAAAAGAATCGATTTTTTTGTTGAGCCTACAGTGCGGAGGGCAGATGGACAACAATATGCTTGTACTCGACGCCCGCATACTAGACGACGAGAAGCCTGTCTTGGATTTACGGATTGAGCGTCTCCAGTATTTGTTCACGATTAGTAAGGAGGACCGTGACGTCGATATGCCTTCTTTCAAATCAGTCTGGGTTAAAGGAAGCGCTGACGAAGCTTTACAGCGTACGTGTTCCTGTTCTTGCTTGATTGTTTTTCTTACAATTTTTTTTTCAGGACTTACCCTCCTGTTAACTCCAACTAGTCTGCAAAAGCTACGAGACATGGAAGTTGCGGTACCTGTTGGTATTCTTCTGTATGGACCAGCAGTAAGGAGACAGAAATATTACCCTTTGTGGAATGACGCCGTTGTGTTTGCAGGCGTGTGGAAAAACTCAGCTAGCTTTGTCTCTGGCACGGGAGCTCGGTGAAAACAAACAAATACAAGCGCATCGGTTTGTTATTATGTCTTTCCCCATTACGTGTTTTCTAACGCAATGGATTTGCTTGACATAGGGTGATTCTGAAATGTGCTGAGCTTGTTGGTGAAGCAGAAAGTCCAACAAAACGCCGTCTGAAGGAAGCAGTTCTGGGAGCCATTCAGCATGCGCCTTCTTTGGTGGTGCTCGATGACCTGGACGCTCTTTTCTCGATTCATGAAGAAGGAGGAGTTGATATGTCAGCCACTTCTCTCGCGGAGTACCTTTCAGATGTGATGGACAATGCTCAGGTGAAAGGTTCAGGCAACTTTAAAGTTTTACGTGCTCTTTTTTCTGTTCCACAGAGAACGGCTTCTGTCGCGTTTCTTGCAACTGCAAGTGGACCAAAATCTCTTCCACTTTCTCTGCGCTCGTCAGGTATTCTACCTTCCAAGGCTAAACACGTTCACTTTGGACACTGATAATGCAGGACGATTTGATTTTAGCGTTGAGCTAGAACCCCCTGGTATTCGTGAGCGAGAAGGCATTCTCGAGCAAATTATCGCAAGCCGAGGTTTTGAGTGTCCAAAAACTATAACGAGTAGAGTGGCTGCCAAATGTGATGGATACGATGCAAATGATCTGGTAATGTGGTTTAGCTCATACTGTACTAGGTGCTGATTACTCATGGAATCAGGAAATTATGGTGGACAGAGCTTTGCATGCTTCATCTGCCCGATATCTCGCAAAAAAGGCGGAGACGGAAACGGGCCGCAATTTTCACTTGACAGACAGCGACCTGAACGACGCACTTCAAGGCCTTGTTCCGGCAGCACTCAAAGGAGTTGCCAAGGCGGGGAAAACTGGACCGATACTGGGATGGGATGATGTAGGTGGCCTGCAAGAAGTTTGCCGTGTGATTAGAGAGGTACTATTAACGTTGATTTGGATATCATCTGCCTCACTAGACTCGTATATTTGCAGCTGTTGGAACTACCTGTGAGGTACCCAAAGCTTTTTGCTAGTGCACCTTTGCGGTTGCGTACTGGCGTTCTTCTATACGGTCCTCCTGGATGCGGAAAAACGCATGTTGTTGCGGCAGCTGCTGCGGCGTGCTCCCTCCGTTTTATTCCAGTGAAAGGTCCAGAGCTTCTTGACAAATACATTGGTGCTTCTGAAAAGGCGGTATGCTCTTTGAAAATATTTTGGGCTAGACCTTTGTTCCTTGTCCATCCAGGTTCGTGACGTTTTCGCGAGAGCAGCTGCGGCTGCTCCTTGCATCCTGTTCTTTGACGAGTTCGACGCTATTGCTCCCAAGCGTGGTCACGACAATACCGGTGTTACAGATCGGGTTGTGAACCAGGTACACGAACTTTTAAGCCATTGCATTAATAACTGTAGCATGCAGCTTCTAGCTGAGCTTGACGGGGTCTCAGCTTTAACGGGTGTTTTTACGTTCGCTGCTACCAAGTCAGTCAGCCTCTTATGAGAGTTGTTTGTGTAGCACTAATCGTTCTTTCTCTTGTAGCCGTCCTGATCTGATTGATGCGGCGCTGCTTCGACCTGGGCGACTCGACCATCTTTTGTTTTGCGATTTTCCTTCACAGGCCGAGAGGCTTGACATCCTACGTGTACTCTCCCGACATGTACGTACGCTTTCTTTTTGTTTTCTTTCTCTTGGCAGGCTTAACTTGATTTCCTTTTAAACAGCTTTCAATGGAAGATGACATTGACCTGCAGTACTTATCGCGTTTCTCAGAGGGTTTCAGTGGAGCAGATCTGAAAGCTGTTCTCTCAGACGCAGAACTAGAAGCAGTCCATTCGGCAATTGAAAGGCCAAGAGAAAAACACAACCAGCGCCCTGTAATAACGATGGAAATGCTCAAGTCAGCACTTGCGCGGGCCATCCCGCTACAGGAGGCAGAAAGGAAGCGATTCGCCAGCATATACAGTACATTTACAAGCGGCAGATCGTCATCTAAGGTCCGTTGCTCTTACGTGTTTTGTTTTTCATCGTCTTGACGTTCTGGTTGATAGGATTCCAAGGGAAAGAAAGCAACGCTGGCCTAGGAAAGAGAGAAGCAGACAAGCACTCGGGTGAATGTATCTATCTTCGTGGACAGTAACATCAGGGCTTTTGCTAGAGGTATGTGAGGGTCGTGTTCCTTGCAAAAATGATTCGTCAACTGTAACACCTGATCTGCAGGCCTACTTTGGGCTTCCTGATCATGCGAAAGTGGCTTGTACTGACGTGCCACCTCTACGAGTTTCCTGCCAAGGTTTGTAGGTAGCTAGCTTATATAAAAGCATTTCGCGTCACAAACTTAAGCTCAAAGCTCTCTTGTGCTGTGACAAAGTGATGGCCTGTTCCCAGGCCATAGCACAAGCGAGTGATAGTGTGAAGGTCTCTAAAAGCTGTGGCTTGTCTCCCTTCTGCGTGCTGACGTAGAAAAATTCACTGCAAGAATCCTCTCAAGGCCGTACGAGCTCTCCTGGTACGTGCTGGTTGTTTTCATTGTGATTGCCTGCCGAGAGCTGTGTGTGTATGTTCTCTATAATGGTCTTGTGTCGTCTTGTGCGATCTAAGGCTGCCTGGCTGGTTGGCGTCCTTCGCGTGAGCGTCTTGTATTCTCTTTTCTGTCCTTTTGGCTATGGCCACTATTAGAATGATAGCGTGGTTTAATTTGTCTCTAACGCCATGCTTGTTACGTCCTTACAGGTTTGTTGTGGAGAGCAATGTCTCTTTCTCCATTCGGGTCCACGAAGTTATGGGACATGCATGCCGGCTTCTTGCTGCTGGCATTTCCCCAGGGAAGGAAAAGCGACATACAGAAGTAAGTGGAGCTATACTCATTTAAGCATTGCGCAGCCGGAGAGACTTTGCCAACTGTTAAAGGGAAAGCAATGCTTTGCTTGAAGCAACAAACAGGTAACAAGATCCATTTCTAAATTATGATCGTCACACTGAGCATTCCCGTCCAGCTCCCGGCTTTGGAGCGTTTGGAGCGGTTCTCACTGTTTTATTCCACTGAAGTTACTACTTTGCTAAGCTAGCTGCAACAGTAGATCGAGTGCTAAGCAGCAGAGATAGTGCTCTCTGGTCCCCCAAGAGACGCGGGCCACAAGGAGAAGCTTTTCATGATACCCGGTAAAAGGTTCGTCCTGCAAAAGCAACCACCAATGCGTGGCTTGAAACTTGGGGCGGTGTCGGCTCCAGAGAACTTGCGGTGTGCATTGCGCCAGTTCACTCTCAGTTCCGAGGGAGAGTGGCAGACGCATTTTTCCACCGCCAGCTGCTGATCAAAATCTCACTGTCAGTGTGACTCCACCCTGCAAAAACTGGGAGAAACTCGACTCCGAATTAAGAGAACAAATGGTGGAGGATTGCAGATCCGAGCTCCAACAAGCTCCCGAAAGGCAAAGGACAAGAGAATTCACGAGCGAGCAGGCAGAGTTAGACGTTTTCGAGAGAGAGAAGGAAGAAGACACGACACGATCAGTAGCAGCAGCAGCAGCACCGGCCTTGAATTTGGAAACAAGGGAACCTAGGATCACATTTCTTCCGGCGGTGCAAGCAAGTGATAATTACACTGCTCGAGCTCAGCGGAGCATATCACCACCCAGGAAGTTCGCAAACCCGGCCCTCCTAGGTTCCTTTATTCCCAAACACAAGACAGAAGCCAGAGGTCCGTGTCTGGATGGATGGATCAAACCAAGAACGGAGTTCTTACAAGTCAAGGCGGCCCCCAACGAGAACAAGTGCTCAAGCGAAAGAAGTCTGATCGAGAAGAACCATAGTTCGCAGATCCAGAAGAAGAACAGAAGAAGAAGAAGAAGAAGAAGAAGGAGAAGGAGAAGAAGAAGAAGAAGATCTTCGTTTCGACAAGAGGGAAGAAGAAGCAGATCTTCGTTTCAATCAACAAGAAGGAAGAAGAACACCAAACAAGAAAGAAGAAAACAAGCAGCAAATAGCTAAACACACGATTCAACAGACACTGAGGCGACGGATCCTTGCACGCGAACTATTTATCCTCCGGCGAAGATGCTGGCGGTGCAAAGCAGGGGAGGCTCCATCTCCGGCTCTCTGTCTCTCTTTCACACACAGGGAGAGAAAAGAAAAACTTTCCATATTCATTAAAAAATTGAAGCTCTTACCGTTTCGAGAAAGCCCCTGTTTACGCGACCCGCGCATCGAAGCCGTCCATTCTCAGAGAGCTTTCCATTTATATCCATGTCACGTCGCTATCGCCACCATTAAAACCAGCTTCCCGGAGCGCATTACGCTACACTAGCACCAAAGATTTCCATTTCCTCGCATTGCAATTTTTGAGAGTCAGTGCCACGGCTTCTAGGGTTTTTGTATCCAACGGCAAGCATCACGCCACGTGGAGCGGCATGAAGGCGCCAGTTAATCTTGTTAACTTTTTGCTTAATCCATTAACCATGGGTTAGTCAGCCTTTTATTTCGCGGATTTATTAATATAAACACCCTGGAAAACATTTCCCAGGGCCGTGAAATGCAACGAGACGAGAGAGTGACGAGAGAGACGCTCGTTCTTTTTGTTCTTCCTTCTTCCTGTTGCTGCTTTTTCGTGGCTCCCCGGAGTGATCTTGCTCACTTCTTGGAGCGGCGGGGCCGCTTGGATCCCCACACCTCGAATCTGGCGGCGGGGCAGCCACACCGAGCTCGAAAAACCAGCACCGCCCGCCCGTTTGGAGGAGCCATCCTCTTGAGCTCCGCCTCCAGCTCCTTTTGATCCTGCGCCAGCTGCAGCCCCTTGTCCAGCAGCACAGCGTTGGTCGGCGGCGAGCTCTTGACGCACTCCTCCGTCTCGAGCTGGATGTCGCACTCCATGGCGTTTTTCAGCCCCTTGCACGACGGGTTGCCGCACTTCCTCGACTTAAACTGGTACAGCTCCCACATCCCGATCACCGACGCCGAGGTGAGCACCGCCGCCAGCGCGTAGGCGACGGGAGCCTCGTACACGACCTCGCCGATGAAGAGGAACGTTGCCGGGAGGATCTCGATGATCTCGTTGCACACCAGCTTGAAGTATGGCGTGAAGAGGAAGGCGCAGGCGGCGAGAGCCACCAAGAGGATGAGGATGTCGATGGCGGCGGTGGAGCAGCGGTCGCAAGGTGGCGATGATTGGTGGTGGTGGCTGTTTACGCCGCCGCCGCCACCATTTGCTTGCTTCTTTGATCTAACTGGTTTGTACCTGGTTGTGCTGCTGCTACTGCTGGTGCTGCTCGAGGAGCCGAAGGTCAGACGGTCCGAGAGCATGACGGACTTCACCATTCCACACTGCCGCTTGATGATTCTGCAAGCTCTTGACAGGCTCCGGCAGACCATCCCCGCGTGCCAAGGCTAGGGCTGGAAAACACGAAAAGAGAAACTTAGTTTGGTCCCTTCTCCTCAAGGCACAGCACAAGAAAACCGCTAGAACAGAGTCCAAACAATCTAAGATTGACAAAAGGAGAGAATCTGAGCTGGAAAACACAGAGAAACTTAGTTTGAAAGAAAGCTCTCAAGGCATTTTAGAGGTGTAACGACAACCAGCAAGAAAACCACGAGAACAAAGTATCGAAAAAACTCTAGATTGACAAGATGTGATCTCAAATCCCAGAAACCACAGTGCTCACAGAAAGAGTTGAAAAAAGAAAAGAAAGACACGAGAGTAAAATCAAGGACAAAAGAAAAGACCACACAAACGATGAACGTTCCCAGAAAGAGTCAATCGGCAATGGATTCCGCGAGACGCAAGCTCACAAAGAAAGAGTTGCCCTAAAAATCGAGATCTCAATTTCGCCATGCAATCCGGCTGCTCCGGCAGTGACACATACCTAGAAATGCGATCTGATCGCGCAAGATCCACGCAACAAAACCCTCGCCCTCGCGATCGCGCGACCCCGAATTCCGCCTCCGGCCGAAAGATTTGTGGCCAATTGGCGATGAGCCGATGAGCCTGGAAGAACCGCGGCTATGGCGCGCGGCTCGCCATCGGCATCGGCATCGCTAGCGCCATCGCAGCAGCACAGCCTCGGAAAGAATGTAAACCAGGAGAAAACGGACAAAGCAAAGACGAAAGAAAGAGATGAGGGCAAATGGAAGGAGAAAGTAAACGCGATTAATGACCTTTAGGGCTTTTTGCTGACGTATGCCCTAAAAGTCCCGTTTAAATCGCTTGCTCTAGGTTTAAGGGTCTTCGAGCAATGGTGTTTGCTAGAGCTACACACGAGCTCCCATTTCGTGGATCGATCGAGAGGATGTTCTTGGCGATATCTCGACCAACATTTAGATTCGAGCTTCTCTCGCAAGATGCGAGGAGTGATCCACAAACCACAACGTCGGCGATGAATGGCATGTTGTCTATCAAATCTCTCGCCTCTCCAAGCTTGCCGGATCTCCCGAGAGCGTCAACCAGGCTGCAATAGTGTTCTTTGGACGCCACCATTTCATAGTTCTCGCCCATGGAGGAAAAGTAGGACAAGCTCTCGGATACGAGGCCGGCATGGCTGCATCCGGCGAGAATCTTTGAAAATGCCGCGGGATTCAGCTCGATTCCCTCCATTTCCATGCTCCTGAAGGCCTGGGTGGCAATGGATCTCCCCGCGAATCTGGAATATGCCGCGACCATGGTACACCACGACGTGGCGTCCCGCCTTGGCATCCTCTCAAAAGTGAGCTTTGCCGCGAGGAGATGCCCGTTCTGGGCATATGCCGCGACCATGGTGTTCCACGTCACCATGTCCCGCCATGGTAGCACCGCAAAGGTCGCCTCGGCTTGTTTGAGGTGAAGATTCTGTGAATATGCTGCTATGATCGCGTTCCAGGCCACCACGTCGCGCTCGCGGATGCCGTCGAAAGCTTCCTTCGCGCGGTCCAGATGCCCCCCGTGGCCGTAGGACGCAACCATAGCCGTGCACGTGGCGGCATTTTGTAAGGGCATGCGTCCAAACACCTGCTCGGATTCGTGCACGTGTCCTTGGAGTCCGTACGCTGCGATGAGGGACGTACACGACACGATGTCGTGCTCGGGCATGGAATCGAACACCAGCCTGGCCTGCTCCAGTTGACCCTTCTCGGAATATGCGGTGACCAGCGTCGTCCAAGATGCGAGATTCCACTCCGGCATCAAGTCAAACCGCGACTTGGCATCTTCCAGATGGCCGCCCTGGGCAAATGCCGTCAAGAGCGCATTCCAGGAAAGAATATCTCTTTCGTTCATCGAGTCGAAAAGTCGTGATGCCGCGTTGGTCTCTCCGTACCGTCCGTACGCGCCAATCATGGTGTTCCCGCTGACCACATTGAATTCCGGCATGGCGTCCAGCGTGGCCCTAGCGGCGTCAATGACACCATCGCCGGCATATGCGCCCAGCATCAAGCTCCACGAGGCAATGTCGCGCATGGGCATTTGCCGGAATAGGCTCTCCGATTCCCGCATATGCCCGGCTTGGGCATATGCCATTAGCATCGCGTTCCACGAGAAAACGTCGTGCGTGGCCATTTCGTCAAACAGACGCTTCGCCTCATTCACGTTACCATGCTGTGCATGCATTGTAAGTACCGCATTGTACGACACTATGGTAAACTCGGGAGATTCGTCAAAGATTCTCAACGCCTCGCTAATATGCCCTGCCTGGGCATATGCCGAGACCATGGCCGTCCAGGTCACCACGTCGCGGTCGGGCATTCTATCAAAAACTACTTTTGCCTCGTCAAGATGCCCGCTTAAGGCATATGCCGAGAGCATCGACGTCCACGCACGCAAATCTCTCTGTGGCATTCTATCGAAATAATCCTTTGCTTCGCTGACTAAACCATTTGTTCCAAATGCCTGGATGATTGTGTTCCAAGCAATTGGATCTGGATCTACGAGCCCATCAAATAAGAGCTTTGCTTTCGTGAGATCTCCTTTTTGGGCATAGAGGGATATCAAAGTCGTCCATGATACCATGCCCTTGACGGGCATTTGATCGAACAATCTCTGCGTTTCCTCGATAGATCCAAGACGAGCATACGCGGCGATCATCGAATTCCAGCACACCGAATTCTTCCAAGGGATTCGATCGAAGAAGTTTCTGGCCTGATCGAGGCTGCCGCTATCAACGTAGGCGGACAGCATGATACCCCACGAGAAGGAATTGGGGCGGCGAATGGAATCAAACACCGATCGAGCTTCATCGATCGCTCCACACTTTCCATACAATTCGACGATGAGATTGGAGAGATACCTGTTCTGCGAATGCTGGCTCGCAGCGACGCGAGAGTGAGCGTCCCGGGCTCTCGACACATCACAAAGAACTCCACAGGATCTAATCAAGGTCGCGAGCTCGTCAACCTCGCAAAGCTCTTGAGATTTGGACTTTACGAGAGGTTTCATGATCACACAACTTCATGAGATATTTGCGTGTATAAAAAAAAATCGAAGCACTCGTATCAATCTCTAGGCCTACGAGTTGATCGCGCGGCAATTCGATCGAACCTGCGTGGCTTCCGAGTTGACGACGCTGGTGAGCTTGACAAACGCTCGCGAGAATGTGTCGAAGAACAATCCCTGGTTCTGAGCAAACTTGGAAGTGTAGATCGAGGTCCTGGGATCGCTCTGGACAGCGGCATCAAGCGCGAAGAGCACCCGCCGCGAGGCAGCGTCCTTGAAGAACATGTTGTCGAATCTAAACATGGTTGAATCGTTTGGGATGGCCGTGATGTTGAGGTAGAACTTTGGACTCGGGCACAACACTCGCAACGCCATCGAGTACATGAGATCCATCTTGGTATCAACGCTTGGATAGAGCCGGTTGACAACGCTCAAGCAGTGCCCAACTCCAAGAGTGTGAGCTCCTGGAACCAAGTATATCACCAAGTATATCAGCCAAAGAGAAGGAAGAGCCGCTCGATCGATCGAAAGAAACTAGAGACTAAGACCAAGGAAACTATGGGAGAACACACTCACCGAGAAGAGACACAGCCTCTTGCGGGTTAATTCCCATGGACGCGAAGTCTTGGAGAATTTCCTCCACGGAAGAAGTGGCAGTGGCAAGCTTGCGATTAGCGGTAGCGAGGTCCGCTCTCGTGCTATCTTTGCGACCCGTTAGAACAGGAATGTTTGGTCCTCCAGCCTGCAAATTCTCGCTAAGGCAAACAAAGAAAAGAGAGGAAAGGAAAGATCTTCTTACCAGCAAGATGGAGTCTCGAGCAGCTAGAGCGATGATGTCAGCGCAAGAGACAGTGCGCGGGCAGCTCCCCTCCAACGACGCCTTGATCCTATCGATGAAATCCACGCGACGAATGCCAAAGTTCTTGGGAGATTCCAGCTCGCTCTGAAACTGTGCAGTGGAATCCAAGATGATCGATGCATCGCAGCCCTGGAAAGCACAGAAGAATCGTCTAGATGATCCAAGAACACCTGTAAGGAAAGAATCCATACCATGACATCGCAATCGTGGAAGGCGAGGCGAAGCAATGCCGCTCCAGCGGTGGGATCTTGCATGAGGAGCGTCATGAGCGTCTGGCGCACGATGGTCTCGGCATTGGGGCAGCTGGATCCGTAGTATCCCAATCGCAGTGAGGTGGAAGTGGAATTTCCCAGAGCTTGCGCCCGCGGTGACGACTCCTGATCCACTGCGCGGCAAGAGATTGCGAGGAGGAGGAGGAGAAGCAACGCGAAAGACGCCATTGCCATCGATCGCTCCCGATCGAATGTACGAAGAGAAGGTTGCCGCCCTCCTGCTCAGCGGTGGCGCCCAGCGCGCGATTATGAATCCATGGCGCAGCCAAATCCATTACGCTAGCAGTTGGATGGAGGCAGGGCGCGCTCGGCTGACTTCACGCAACGGGCAGTTCGTCCGTGAAGCGCCACCGTCTGGAATCTTTTCTATGAATTTTAGGGTTCCTCCTTTTGCGTTTGAGAGTGGATTCTCATGCCTTGTTCCAGAGCTTTGATGAATCTCTTCTTCTCTGGCCGCTAGAGCGGAGCAAGCCTTGAGGAATCCTGGATTTGCCAACTGGTCTGAAGAAGCTATGTCAGTCTTCTCAGCCTGATATCTTTCCTTCGTTTTGATACTAAAACCGATGGAGCCGCTCCGACGAAAACATGAACTTGCGCAGACCAATGATCCGCTCGCTGAGCGTGGCACCTCTACGCTTTGGGAGGAGCATTTGATACTTGTATAGTACAGTAACTAGGGATTTCATTGGTACACTTGGCCTCATGAAGGAAATTCGGGCTCCAAAAGCTTGACAATCTGAAAGCACATGTTCTTGTTTATTTTGCCGACATTTTCTTTCTTATGGTGAGGGATGTTCAATGTGTTTCTTTTTCCTGGTGAGATACTAGTTTTCTTGGCTCAGTGTAGGGGTGTCAGCACAAGAACTTTACAAGAAAAGGATTTCGCACTGTACTTGCAGCTGTGCAGGAAGCATGCAATCCCCGTACAAGACGAAATAGCAAGATACGCTACTGTCAATGATTTCCAAGGTGAAATGGGAAGGTCTTGGAAGGTCCTCATCCACTTTTTCTATACCAGTTAGATGAGGGTAATGGCAGTGAGTAATGGTTGAGATAGGATTTTTAAAACATCCAAGCATGGACAAAGAGTTCAAGTGATCTGTGATGGTAAGCTAATAGAGTAGTTCATAATCCATGAGGGGTCTTAGAAATAGAAGCAATGACCAATGCAGGGCAAAAAAAAAACAATAATTTAGATGGTTTTTAAGGGTAGTGTTCATTATTTTGAGGTGATTGTGACACCAAGTTGGTTTTCTATATAACATCATCCATGGAATAAAAGTTGTCTTATGACATGTTTTCACCAACTTTTGAGTAAGAATATTGGTTTTGGACTAACCTTTTCAACATTTGAATGATAGACTGATATCATTAAAATGCAAACACACTTTAAACTTGCTTACATGGAATGTTGAATAAAATTTTAAACTAGCTAACAAGTCTAAAGTGTAAATAAAATCCCTTAAAAATTGTCTAAAGCCCACAACACTATAGGGACAATTAACAATTTAATAATATTAATTTGCCAATTGTCTCATTCTTGAGTTTGTCTTATGTTCAACTTTGCCAAATTCAAACAATCACATATGTACTCTTGAACAACCAATTAAGTATCACTCAAACCTAAGAATGTTTAACTTTAAGTATTTTAAGATAATTGGAATAAAAAAGCACTTTTATTGATGTCTTTTCCCTCTATATCATAGAATTAATTTTTCACCACTTTATAGTAATTAAGGTGGACAACCAAACTTCACATCTAGATTCATATTTGAAAGTGAATAAATTAACCTCTAAAATTCCTTATGTGTTCGGTGGGATTAAGATCTATTGTTTCTTGTTTTAAAATAATGAATATAATATATTAAATATAAATTTTTAAATTTAAACTTTCAAAAAATTCACCCAACTCAATATTATATAAACTCAAAGATGTTTAATTAAGATTTTTAACTAATTGAAAAAAAAGTGTAATCCTTTCCTTTTATATTGCCTAAAAGATCATCTTTTGAGTCATTATTTTTTACTACTTATAAAATAACAACATATTTCAATGTGTTCCAGCCATGCCATAAAAAGAAATTAGATATATTTACCGCAGGTACGAGCTCCAAAGGTAAATAACTCTCCTTAAATTGTTTGACAAACTGTTTAGCCAAAGAGCCTTGGTTTATGGAGAAAGAGGCCACTTGTTTCCTCCCATTTTCTCCTTGGCCTTGTTCCGGTTGAAGGCCCAGAATTGGACCAGGTCCATGGCACCCATCCTCGTTAGCACAGTAGAACCCACGCACAAAAACATAATCTCATGATACTTCTCACGCCCCATATATCTTCCAGGAATGCACGTTTGTGCCAGTCATCAGTAAGCTCACTGGAAGGCTACAAGCAGCACTACGAGACACTTGCGGACGTACCACTGCCTGTTTCACACTACCCTTGTAAAACCTTAGAAGACTCTTTAGTATACAGAAATCGAGATCTTTGGCAGTGTCCTGGACTAGACCGAACTTTCATGGATGTTTTTCTTGCAAGTTTCACGTAGATTGGGATGGCAGTGTGGAAATGCAAGATCTTAAAACCCAATACACCTTATATAAAAAACTGAAAGGAAAAACTATTGACCAAGCACAAAGATGCTTTACATCACCAACAACCTCATCTCTATGTACACTCATGCGGCAATGGCTGGAGGCCACCTAGCAGACAGTCTCATCAGGCATCATTGTCCCATGATCCCTGCAAGACAACAGCCATCTGGCGTCAAGAACAGCGAGAGCAGAATACAATTGGAGGAATCGCGAGCTGCAATTCAGCGTCTCCTACAGGATCTAGAACGGCTCACAGGTAACCTCGAGGAAAGACAAGGAAAGAAATCACTGACAAAAGAGACTGCGGAAGCTGCTCCTAAAGAGGAAGATGCTGCAGACGAAGAGAACGAGGACGATCTTCTGGGATTAAGGAGAGAGCAGCTGCTACGATGCCTGAGCTTGCAAACGTGGTGGCGCCAGTAGGAACCCGTACTGCGATCAAATTTTGGTACGCGGACCGCCTCAACTACTCGCTTGACAATTTGCCGTCCAAGGAGCAGGTTCTGCTCGTGCATTGCGATGGATGATCCTGCTGAAGAGCTGCCTTTTGAGATCAACTGGACGCCGAGGTACTACAGGTGTGAAAGGTTGGAATGAAATGCCCTTTATAAGGCAATACGCTTCTGCTTTTGATGCATTGAACCATGGGCATAATAGCTTGACAAGATTTCTCTGCGTCTGGAAGGCATGAGTTTCTTAGTTTCAAGCCGGAGAGAATTCTCGGAAAGAGAAGAAAACGTGAACACCTGTACCATGACATCGCAATCGTGGAACAGCTGGAGCCAATCGCAGCGGTTCTTACCAAGAGACTGCGAGGGCCGAGGAGGGAAAGCAGAGATCGCTCCTGATTTCCCAGCCAAAATAGTTAGTATCGCTCCTGATTAGCCAGTATAGCCTTCTAGTTTCGACACTCAGATAGTTGAGCTCCGAGCAGGGAAGGACGTTTTGCAGCGTGGAGCAGCAGCGATGAACTTCGTAGTTTTGTACAAGCAGCAGCAGTGGAACTCTTCTCGTCATCTTCGCGGGTTACTACTGCCTTAGAAGACGCCACATTTAAAACAAGACAAAGAAAAACAACATGAGAATCTCGAATGCAGCAGCTGCAGCACAAAATGTTCGAGATCCACCTTGTCGAACAGCGATCCCAATTTAAAAGCTGGAAGGAGCGGCTGACTGATAACAATGATGAACAAGTTTTCACGAGAAGAGTTCCCTAACTTGGCACATAGAAAGGACCGCTAAAACCGTGCGCAATACAAACTGCCCATCATCCCTTATGCGGCACCTTCCCTCTTCATCTTCCTCGTCGTCCTCGTCGTCCTCCTCGTCCTCCTCGTCATCTTGTGGTGCCTAAAAGAAAACAAAGAGTCTGTAGAACGCACTTTTCGAGAGTAACTTACCTCCTCCTCCCACGGTAGATGCACCTGGCTCTTCCTGATCTTGGCATACGCAGTTTCACCATGATCATCGTCCTCGACGAACAAAAAGTTCTGGATGAGCTGCAGGATGTTGAGACACTCGTCGAAGCTCTGGTATGGAGCGCTGAGCTTGTCGACCACCATGCGAAACAGCCAGTTCTCACCGCAGTTGAGCCTCTCCAGGACGATCCTCTTGACAGCGGGCGAGTACGCAATGGCCAGCTCGATCCAGGGCTCTGGAATCTGGAGACGTCGCAGCCAGTTCTTGGGGATCTCCCCCATCTACACAATGACACGACAACAAACAATGGAGGCTTCCAAAGTGAATCCAAAAAAGCTTACCTTCCAGGTACCCGAGTTTAGAACATGGCAGGAGCTGACCGAGAAAGTCCCGGCATCCAAGTCGATGATGTAGACGTACTCCATCATGAGATCAAGCTCCGGCTGCTCCATCACGGGCTCTCGATTTGACACGAACACGCCGAGCTCGAGCAAGCGAAACCAGAGTCGCTCGTGGGACTCGATGTTCCGGCACAGGAACGCCCATCCGTTTCCTCCTCCCAGTTTCTTCTCGGCCTCGTTCCGGATGAAGGCCCGGAACTGGACCGGGTCGTCAAGAATGGCAGCCATGGTCGCTATCACAGCATCACCCACGCTCCTGATGGAGTGATACTGCATCCGCCCCATATCTTCCAGGTATTCTCGTTTGCGCCGGTCATCACCACCAAGCGTGTAGTCGCGGACAGCGTCGATGATCGCGTCCGAGGGTTGATGCTCGCTTCTCTCTTTACCTCCGCACTGTCGAGCAAGAGTTAGACGGGAAGCAGAAAAGATGAAAGCTTGAGCCTGATCAGAGAGAGGAAGAAAGATGAGAGCTTGAGCCTGATCAAAGAGAGGAAGAAAGATGAGAGCTTGAGCCTGATCAGAGAGAGGAAGAAAGTTGAGAGAGGGGAGAGAGATCACCTGGATGAAGACGGCCTTGTCGAGCAGGCGCCTCCACTCTTCCGGGTCCGGATGATCCGCGAGCAGCGCTACGAGACGCTCGCCGACGTACTCGAGCTGCCCCCACTGCTTGTAGAGAAGATAGTAGACGCCTTTGTAACGGTACGAGATCCACGCTCGCATCCCCATGGCCAGACACCCTTCTAACTTCTAAGACCCTAGAAGTATACCATCTCGTACTTGATCAAGCAACTACAATCACACTTCGATCTTTTTTTTTAGGCACCAGCAGGAAAATGGCAAGCTCGGATTTGGACGGGGAATAAAGATCTCGAACTTTCACTAAGTTCTCGGTCTAAGTTCGTAAGATTTTTCTCTTTCTCGACGAGAGGTACTCAGGAGATGAAAAACACTATGAATTGATCATGAGCACGCCCCTGTAAATTCACAAACGTAGGCACAAAACTTTAGAACAGGCAGAAAACCTTAGAACACAAAGTTTAGAACTCGCACAGAGGAAAATGGAAAAAGCTTCGAACCTCCTTAGTGAAGCAACAAATTTCTCATATGCTTCCTCTCATCCAGCTCCTACTCCACAGCCTTCAACACAACCGGAAGAACTGTGAGCTCACAAAGCGAAAAGCTGTCACATTATAATTATAGTGTGACAACACAAACAGCTGCTGCTGCTGTTAAACGTTGTGGTGGCTTACCCGCCATCACTCTGGTTGCGGTTCTCCAGGCGCTCGCTTGACCGCCATTCCAAAGGCAAGGCTCGAAGCGAAGTTCCCAGTCACCACCTCCAGCTCCTTGGATGAATACTTTTGAGCCGAGCCTTTCAGTGCCAGAGCGAAAGCACGCTCAACTTTGTCAAGCCTGTGCTTCCAGATCATCAGCATGACCAAGCCGAGCGAATGCTCTGCGACCACCCTGACCAGAGTGGAGAGACATGACCCTGTACAGCAACATCAACCTGACAACGCCGCTGAAGCTCTGGTGGCTGCTGCTTACTCCCGCAGGCCACCAGCGCGGATATGACTTGCTCGGAACCTGCCTTGGAAATAGTCACGGATTTAAATCGGCACTTGAAAGAAGGCATAGCCCTTACTTCGTTGATATCTTGAGCCTTCGGCTATTGTATCCAGGCCTTGATCCTAACCACAAATTCACTGTTAGACAATAGAAAAGAATAAAAGCAAAGTGTCAGTCAACTTTACCTGTCTAGCTGAGTAGTAAAAGCTGAGTCCAGCTGATCCAGCTATGCTCAATCGGGATAAGCAGAAGCTGACAAAAAATACCTCAGTGAAAAGCAATGCTAATGAGTTACTTGTCACCATTGACAAGCTGGGACAGCTGAAACCTGGAGTATCAGCATAGCCCCTCTAAATGGCAGATGCAAGAGACAAACGTGCCGCATCGTGTGTTGTCCGGATCCAGTTCAATACGACACCTCATTTACGCGAATGACTTCATCGTCAACTTCGTCTAGTGCCTGTACACGCGACAATTGAAGTTAGTATCAGGTTCCGACTCCACTTGGTCTGATGTTTTATCTTCGAGGAGATGAAGCCCCATACCAGTCTCTACACTGCATATGTATGGTTTATATCCCCACTCAGATATCTTTCACCTGAAAACTAAAAATGAACCTTCTATCAGCTTTGCAGAAACGAAAAGAAAGAAATAAACGGGTACCTCCTGAGTAACAAGACCCGCCTTGTTGAGCACCACTGCGAGAGGTATTCCAGTCGATTCGGCTTCACTAAGAACCTATTCAGTATCACAGGATCCAAGCGCGGCCTATTGAGTGAGAGTTCCCGAGATTAAAACACTATCAGACTCTTCTCCTGATCTTCTTGAGAAGTGCTCTCACCACGCAAAGAAGCTTAATCCCTGTTCTAAATCCCTGCGCCGACGTTGCCTGCCCGACTGCTCGATCCTCAGTTGAAAGATTGTCGAATCGCTGCACATCGGGCAATGTCGTTACATCACGCACCTAGACACTTGCTTGGAATCACCCCGCCGCAGCCGATCGTGGAGCTGCTTCCTGGCTGGGCCGTGCGCATTCCTCCTGCCTCATGGCACCATCGGCAGCCGCGTGTCACGAAGCCCAACGAACACCAAGAACCCTAAAAACTATTTTCGCGGGATTGGTGCCCTAAAAATCAAAGTTTTAGGGTTTTGGAGGGAGAGAAATATGAAATGAGTTGTCATCGAGGCTCAGGTGAGTTCTTCGATTCCAATCGAGCAATCGATCGATTGACAATCGGCGCAGCACGTAGAATCTCTGGATGTGCTGCTGTAAGGCCTGTGGGAGGGACAGCGCGAGGGTCTCAAAACCCACGAAATATGCCTCAAGAGTAATCCGATTTCCTTTCTTTCGCGGATTTTAGAGCTTTGGAATCTCTTGAAACAGGCACCGTGGCTTCGGAGCTCAATCTACTGTGTGATCTCTCCAAGTGACCTCACATTTGGTATGTTGTTCTTTCTCCGTGCAAGAAGTAAGAAGTAGACGTTACTCATTCTCAGTTTCTTTGTTTTCTTCCTTCCTCGAGGACTATGAAGCACATAGGAGGAGCAATGAGAGGCACTGGTGCCGAGCAGCTGCCCGCCTTGGTACGCAACATTGTGGAGTCCAAGATGAGCAACAATGCTCTTCGTTTCTTCTACGCCGTCGGCTACAAGATGGACTACGAGCTTCTCCGCGATGGTTTTGCGTACCACTTCCAGAGAGCCTTTCCGATCACGGTCACAGTAACTTCAGTGTGTAGGCTTCCCAAGCAGCACTCGATCGACGAAGCGACACCAGTCACGCCAAACATTCAGCTTGTCGAGGTTACGGCTCCCACCACCGCTGACAACTTTAGCGATGTTGTCCTGGCAATCTCCCGTAAGCTTTCATTTCTTCGTTTCCTTTTCCTTTTTTTTTGGTTTTGTCATCGCTGACGAACTTATCCAGGCTTGTAAATTTGTCCAAGGCTTGAGCATCGCGTTTGAATCATTGCAAAGATATTTGGTTATTATAACGCACTTTTAACTTTCCTCTTAGAACAGGGCATACATACATACACACATACACCTAGCTATTTAAGTAAGGCATCCGAGCGTCGCAAGGTAATTTGTGGTGTTCTTTCCCTTCTTTATGCAACAGGATCGGTTTGTTTTTATGATGGAACAGGTAGCTCTTGAGAGAAATTCGATGTTCTAAATTCTTGCCTTTTTGGTTCCCATTTTCAATCAAGGTGAGTCTTGAATTTCTCTCAGTTCAATAACTGATATGTAAAATACAGGGAAAGCGTTTTTACCCTTTGAGACGATTGCTTGTTACACTTCGTACAGGTCTTGAACGATCGTCTTCATCTTTTTGCTGCCCCGGGGCCTCTCGATCGGCTTGTCCATCTTCTTGTCATACTGGGCACGAAACTCGTTATTCGAGCTCCACCTGAACGAAGAATGGTAAGAAAACAAAAGAAACGAAAAGGAGAAACGGAGAAACTTACGGTGTGTCCCATCGGCTTGTGTCCTCGTTGACGAGATGCGTCCACTTGACGCGGCCACGCCGGCCAAAACCCTTGACCTGCATCACCTTGGGCAGTAACTTCTTGTCCAGCTTGTCCTCACCAGTCGGCTCTGAAAAGTCCCTCTTGTAGATGGGCTCATTGTCCGACTGGAAGAAAGGTCCCTTCTTGTAGTCCCTTTGCAAAAACTTCCTCTTTGGAGCCGCCACCTCCCTTGCGCTATCGTCTTCTTTCTTGCGCTCTTCCATCTTTCTTCTCCCACAAAACCCTAAGGTGTACCCTTAACGGAATATACTTATTCAAATTAGCAGCGCGACATCCTCAAGAATCCTCATTGTCCAGTCGATCGTGCAGAAGACCGGACTCAAGAGCACAGACATTGTCCTGGCGATTGGGCCGGGAACTGGAAATCTCACCGTCAAGCTGCTCGAGGTCGCCAAGAGGTGCTGCAGAGGCGCGTCCAAGGCACTTCCAAGCAAATCGTGTGTCAAATCGATTTTATGAGTGATTTTTCTTCTATGCTTGTAGATCATCCAGGGAGATGTTCTAAAGACCGAGCTTCACAGTCCCTGAATTTGAGCGTGGACGAGCAAGCATTGCGGCACAAAATCGTTCTAGAGCAGAATGGGCAAGAGCATTGTTGCCTCTCACAACGCTTGTGCTCCTAATCTTCCCTTTGTGATCCCAAGCGAGGGGATAGTCATCCTTGGACAACCACCACAGATCTTAATCTCCACAAATTGACCAAAACACTACATTTACCCAAGTGGAATACAGCCCACAACTTTTGTTGCCCTCCCTGCCAAGAAAACCATGGCTTCCAGCAAGGTCCATGTCTTGGCGTTTCCAGCGCCCGCGCAAGGCCATATCTCCCCAATGATCCATCTCTGCAAGTTAATCGCTCAAGACCCAAGCTTCACAATCTCCTGGGTCAATATCGACAGCCTCCACGACGAATTCATGAAGCACTGGGTGGCGCCGGCGGGGCTGGAAGATCTGCGCCTCCATTCCATCCCATTCTCGTGGAAGCTCCCGCAAGGAATCGACGCCCATGCTTTGGGAAATATTGCGGACTGGTCCACGGCAGCTGCGCGAGAGCTCCCCGGAGGCCTCGAGGATTTGATCCGCAAGCTCGGCGAGGAGGGCGATCCGGTCAGTTGTATCGTCTCGGATTACGGTTGCGTTTGGACCCAGGACGTGGCAGATGTATTTGGAATCCCCAGTGTCACTCTTTGGTCGGGCAACGCGGCATGGACGAGCTTGGAGTATCACATTCCACAGCTTCTGGAGAAAGATCACATTTTTCCTAGCAGAGGTATGAATCTCCGTTCTTCCCCTGTTCTTCCCTTGGACTTCCAAATTTCCCCTGTTCTTCCCTTTGGAATTAACATTTCCTCTGTTCTTTCCTTTCCTATGTTCAAATTTCTGAGATTCGCACGCAGGGAGAGCTTCTGCGGACGAGGCCAATTCCGTGATCATCGATTACGTCCGAGGAGTCAAGCCTCTCCGCCTGGCCGATGTGCCTGATTACCTGCTGGCCTCTGAGGGCCAGGAGGCGTGGAAGGAGATTTGCATCAAGCGCTCTCCAGCCGTGAAGCGCGCGCGATGGGTCCTCGTCAATTCCTTCTACGACCTCGAGGCGCACACCTTCGATTTCATGGCCAGCGAGCTCGGGCCTCGATTCATCCCCGCGGGGCCACTGTTCTTGCTCGACGATTCCAGGAAGAATGTGGTGCTTCGCCCCGAGAACGAGGATTGCCTTCGCTGGATGGATACGCAGGAGCCTGGATCGGTGCTCTACATCTCGTTTGGCAGCATCGCGGTGCTGAGCGTGGAGCAATTCGAGGAGCTCGTGGGAGCTCTCGAGGCATCAAAGAAGCCATTCTTGTGGGTGATTCGATCCGAGCTCGTGGTCGGCGGACTCTCCACCGAATCTTACAATGGATTTTACGAGAGGACCAAGAACCAGGGATTCATCGTTTCCTGGGCGCCACAGCTGAGAGTTCTCGCCCATCCCTCCATGGGAGCGTTTCTCACTCACTGCGGATGGAATTCTGTCCAGGAGAGCATAGCGAATGGCATTCCAATGCTGGGGTGGCCTTGCGGGGGCGACCAAATCACCAACTCTAAGTTCATCGTGGAGGACTGGAAGATCGGGGTTAGATTCTCCAAGACAGTGGTGCAGGGATTGATCGGGCGAGAAGAGATCGAAGATGGCATAAAAAAGGTGATGGATAGCGACGAGGGGAAGAAGATGAAGGAGAGAGTGGAGAACTTGAAGATCCTTGCAAGAAAAGCTATGGACAAAGAGCATGGGAAATCGTTTCGTGGCCTCCAAGCATTCTTGGAAGATCTCAAAGCTTTGAGCTAAAGCAGTGAAATCCAGTTTCTAGCATGGAGTGCTAGAGATCTACATGCCCATTAGCCCAGACAGGATTGGAAAAGATTTGGGCTCGTTTGCTACGTGGATGCGCCACTCTTAACGGATCTACTCGCGGATGATGCAGGCTTATGGCGAGA